ACGTTTTCAATATACATATGTAGTTAAATCTAGCTTATTGACAACTACGAGTGCGGAAATTCAACAATTGTTATATAGTTGTTAATTGGTAACTAAGGAAGCTCAGATTAGAAGTACTAAAACGATTCTAAAGAAAAGTAAGACGACGAAGAAAAGGCTGTAGATAGAAAGTATGCCAAGGAGTTGACAGAAAATAAAAAAAGGCAATTATTAAGTTACATCAAAATAAGAATTGAACGTCGACAATTAACAATAAATAAAAAAAGTGTTCAATTACGGACTGTAAAAGAGAAATTTAAATCAAACCGTAGTACAACTGTTAACTACGGTCTACAATAATGAGAGAAACGGAACGGTGTTAAAGAGAATTTAAAATACATTTGTATCAAAGTTAATGTAGGATAATCTTACTTCAATAATCCAATCTTATATACAAATCAAAATAATGCTGTATAACATAACTATAACAATCCTTACCAATACATGTCCAACAGTGGAGATGAGGCTCATCAGAAATTTTAATTAAAATGTTTACAATGCTATAAAATTAAAAATAACACACCGATAGATAGAAGAAAGAGTTAAATGGATTGCGGGAAAGGTGACATGATCATGGAAGTGAAGACTTAGATTACGGAAGATAAATTCACCTCTAGGTGAATTTATCCTTCCCTTTCTTTCGTTCCTACCTTCCTCTAGGAAGACATGGTGCGACTAGGAGTAGTACAAGAACGGGGAGATGCTGATGGTGCTGTAGAATTCAGAATCTTTGAAGCATTGAGAACAGTAATTTTGGTTTCTTTACATCATGATATGAAAAATTCATAAGCTTAAATAGATGGTTTTCAATATATCTAAGTAAGATTTGAAATATTTCTATTAAACGTCTTGTGCGCTGCACAAATAGTTGAATCTACTTATATTGATCAACACTTCAGCAATTCTAGTGATAAATGGAACCTGCCTTCTTTGAAGCTGAGATACACGCTTCTCTATACTAATATCTGAACCATTAAATAAATTGGACAGCGCACTTCTTGTGGATGCATTTGGCTTTAAATGCACTTAAATAGATAATAAATTTTCTTCGACGAAAAGAATGTGTTTACCTTAGACGTCGATTGAGAGTGGAGTTTTGTTTTCATTGGATTTTACACATAATTTTGAATGATGTTTTATTAATATGAAGGAAGCAAATATAGACTTTTTAAGACAAACTTTCTATTTATAATAGTACAGATAGAGAGAATTAAGATATCTCTAACGTTGGTTAAAGCTCTTATAATTCTATTTCATAATTGAACATTAAATTAAAGAAAATCTATTGAAGAACTGTAATTCATGAGATAGCCGCGCTCAAAGTCCTTCCTTAAGACATTGACAATAATTAAGTCAGGTACTTTATCTTGTCTGTGGTTTACGATCCTTGCTATTTTTGAAAACGATAGAAATCTTTTCCTGTAGATACATTGCTAGTCTACAACGGCATGCAATTCTTCCACATTATACGATTAACGTCTTCCCCGATGCGGAGCGATCAATGTATACGTTCGAGTCGTAAAAGTCTAATTCACTAACGGGCAGCATTTCGTCCGGATATTAGATTGTGGTCCAAAGCAAAAGAGGTCAAGGTAAAAATTATATAAATTGCATATCTAATTTTGGTTAGTATACTAGCTTGAAATTGATTTGCTAGTATAGACACATTTAATAGCAGATAAAAATTTAAAACTAGTATTTGTTTTGAGTAAAAAATTCGCACTGTGCTATTTTTTTTATTGAAAACGACGCTCCAAGAAGATTTTTACAGGTCCCCAAATACGTAGAAAATTACATTTTTTTATAGACGTAATAAAAACAGCACGCCCTAAAAGCCGAGGCTCGTCCGGGACCGCCCTGTGCGCCCTCAATCGAATAGATAACGTATAAACCTGGCAAATGGACACTCGGAATCTAAATCGACTTACCTAACTGCTGAATCGTATTTTTGCCGAACCAAGCGATGTAATAACTGAGAAGCAAATGGATTTCCAAATTTATATTTTCCTTTATGAATATGCAACCATATCAACATCACCTCCCCGTCCTTAGCCTAGTCTTGTATGGTTAGTGCGCAAGGTTTTTGTCCTCCAGGTTAATCCATCATCTCGGTCATCGCTCCCTTCTTGATCATGTCACCTTTCACACAATAAAACTCTTTCTTAGCATAACCTTGCCGGTAGTCACTCCACACTTAAAAGTTTACCTACATATTAATCAAAACAGTTTTATATTATTACAATTTCCTCAATACATCTAATTTAAGAGAATAAATTATCTCAATGAAGTAATTAAAGAAATTGTTACAAAGAATCTTTTATTAATATGAGTAAGTAGTGAATAGTGGACAGATTTTTAAACAACAAAAAGGTTAAATCCTCTATAGTAACAATAATTACACAATATCCGGCGTGCATTAGCACAGGCTGGATACTGATGCATCGCCACATGCCAACGGACATGCCTTTGAATAATACATCTCCCGCGAGTGGTGCCGCTGAGTGCTGACGGTACAAGTCATAAGCGACTGACTTGTTGAATACCGTATTTACATATTATTTGTGTATTGTTTTATCTTTGTACGAATGACTCGGCTCGATCGGTGCAATACTATGACCATATATGTATATATTTTTAAAAATATCCTACTAATAATATTGCTTTTATTAATACAAAAACTGAAAAATTGCGCAAATTACTTTTAAATCGGTTGAAAAATGAAATTATCGGTAAAATACTGATACGAATCTTAAGGGGCTGTTCTACCGAATTGCCCATCTTTTGAAGCATAAATCAGGATTCCTATAAAGATTTGATTTGGGATATTTTAGTATGTGTAACAGTCCTTTAACTAAAGTCTCGTGGAACAGAATCACGATTGGACAAACTTTTCTTGATATATTTACTTTTTGAAAATGTGCCTAATTCTGTAAAAATCACCATATATCTGCAAAACTACAACGAAAGTAAAAACTAGAAGTGGTTTATTTTATACACGATTACTTTATTTTCTGTCAACCAATTGTCGAAATTTCAAAGGAATTTAAGTGTAGCATTTTAATTAAAGAGGTTGTTACATATTTAAATGGCGTTTCAGTATTCGGCCGTTAGTTTGTTATTAATGTTATTCAGTTAGTGTTGCAAATGGGGTAGTGTTAAGAACCTTGATCGTGTTCGATGATAGAGGACAAGTCCCCTGTCACCAGGCACTCGCCGCCCTCTCGGCTCTGTGAAAATAAAAGTCGACTATCAAGAGGGACGCACGAGCACGTTCCATACTTAAGAAGCTGGCTTGCTTCATTTAATGAGTTCAAGTTCAGTGGTATACTTTTGTTAAATGATAATTTAAAAAAAACTATTATGAAACAATTTTGACTAGTGTAGTTTTATGGCGTAATTTTACTTCTTACTAATGTTATAAATGCGAAAGTTTGGATGGATGGATGTTTGTTAGAGTTTATAGCCTAAATGGATCTCGATGAAATTTAGCATAGATGTAGAACACAGTCTAGAAGAATAGGTAGGCTACTTTTTTAATTCGACGTGGACGGAGTCGCGGGCGAAAGCTAGTAATAATTAAAATGGGTAACAGCAGAGTTATTGAATGCAAAATTTATTGTATTTCCAAACTAGTTGTTTCTTGAGACATCATCTGCGTAGAATTAAAAAAAAACATATGTTACTAAGAAAAAGTTTATCTTTTTAATAGTGTAAGAATTTTTGAAATTGACTCAGTAGTTTTTGAGTTACTGCAATACATACGAAAATAAAAATCTTTCTTTCTTATAATAATAGTATAGACATAAACTTTTTTTTTAACATCAAAAATTCATATATTTTTGTAGACAACGTTTTTATTATGAAAGTAAGTTTGCGGTGTCCGCCGACTCTTGTTACTTGATCAAATATTGTAGTTTGTGCAGAGCTTTCTGTAAGTAACGAAGTTGCAGGCGCCAATTGTGTATTTGTCTTGTTAAAGATAGCATGTTGTGCATGGACAAACTATTCGAGAGTATGGAATGTATGGTTTCTGAATACACTACATCGAACTATTCTATTATGGACCTTATTTGGATGTAATAATAGCTAAATCTTCTCTAAAATTCTCTAAAATTAAACTAGACAGTATTTAATAGGGGGACCGGAAAGTAATGTCGTTTTTAATGTTTAATGTTTGAAGACTTTTATTCCAAATAAGACATGTACAGTCACTAACATGAGAATTTAGATTTACAATATGTTGATTGTCGCCTATGTTCTTTTTATATAAATTTTGTACAATTTTCTAATATATGTTTTGCTAACATTAATTTAAACATATTAAGTGAATCCGCATTTTAAATGGAGGATGGTAATCTGTTATAAAGTTGTGCTCCTTCGAAATTGATATTTTTAACGCCATAGTTGGTTCGTACTTTGGGCAGAACAAGTAAACTTGCTCTCCGCTTGCTTGCTTTTATATTAACTCCAAAGGAATAAATATTTAAAATACTTTTGTAATAAATGAATAAATCAACCTCGTTATCAATAACCCTTTGCCATCTAGTGGGCAAATTTTCAATCCCCGATCGATAAAAATCAATTGTTTGATTAAAGAGGAAATATTTGTATTTTTGTATTTATTACTATAATTCAAAAACTACTGAACCGATTAAAAAAATACCATTAAATACGTTATCAGTGATAACTCACTGATAGGCTATATTTTGAATTTGGATGAAGTCCTAAGCAACAGTTAGTTGACTATAAAATCTGCTGTCGGAAGTACAGTTAAAACTGTGTTTAGTTAATTAACGTACTTTATTTGCGTCTGTTTTGTAATTTCTAAATTAAGATAAATTACAAGGGATTATCTATAAAAAAAATCAGGGATTTCGTGTGTTTCACTCCTTAATTTTTTTACTGATTTTAATTTGATTCTTTTATTACGAATATTTTACTAATTATTGTTTCTTTTACAGTGTATCTACGGCTGTTATGTGCATTCCGCCATCTTGCCGACATTCCACCGAAGATGTTACTGGCTTTTACAGGTAATTGTCATTTTTACATACTTAAAGCGCGCACAACTTTGAGTCAACTATCGCACGATTGTTTAGTCTCGCTTTGATTCCTGAGGTTATCTATCTATCTTTTGTGTTAATGACGTTTCTTTAGAGATTTCGCCAATGTCAAGTATATGTCATACTCTAACATACCTAAAACAACCACTATATATATACAGGAATTAGTTGGAAACACGACAGACAATCTACAGCTTAATATTATTATGGTTAATGAATGAACTAAGGACTTCCTGAGGTTATATGGAGCGCACACTACTCGATTTTAGTTGTGCAACTAAACAGTTGAATTGGCTGCGAAACAATCGACAATCGCACAACAGTTGTGCGGTTTAGTCAAAGGTGTAATTCTAAGAATAGGTATTTATGATTTCGTATGTTCTTGAAACTCGTTTATTAATTACTGTGTGTTTGTACACTCACATTACTATTTTAAAAACATATCCCCATTTTCGCTAACCAGCATTTAATGAACTCTCAGATGTGTCATTGATTTATGGTCATAAATATAAAGATTAGAAATATGATCTTTGTTGAAACCTTAGTTATGAAATGTAATTATTACTAACTTTTATTTAATGAACGGGTGATGAAAATGGGTATACAAAGAGAGAAATATCTTTTTAAGGTCGGTTTCCCAGCGACGTTTTACCATTTGTTAGTGATTTTGGTTCTATAAATTCATAAAATACGTTTCCGAACCGTGTATTAATGTATCGCTAGGTGACGAGATAAGTGGAAACTTCAGAAACCCTGCATTAATGCAAGCGTTCACTCTGTTATAAATGATATCTGTAATGTCGCTTCAATATTCAATACGTGAAAACTTTAAAATACAGCTTTTTGATATCTTCGTATGGAAGTGATGTTACCGCGAATTGGATCGTTCCGTTCCGTTCAATATTTGTGACATATTTTCACTGAAATCGTTGAAATATTAATAGAATCTAGAAGTTACGGGATTTACGTCGTCGGGGAGTTCTCGAAGTAGTAATGTGATTAAAGGTTTCTCATACACCAAGAAAATACATTTGGAGTAAATCTTATAGTAACTGGTTTATAATAATAATTTCATTTATTGCAATATTACAAAATGTAATAACGATTCATGCATTTATACTAATATTATAAAGAGGAAAGATTTGTATTTTTGTATGTAGTGAAATAACTCAAAAATTGGGCCGATTTCAAAAATCTTTTACCATTAGAAAACTAAGTTATCAGTGAGTAACATAGGCTATGTTTTTGATCGTTTTTTTTTATTTACACGCGGACGAAGTCGCGAGCAACAGCTAGACTGTAGACTAAATTGCAAGATACATAATACGTTTATTTAGTCGTAGTCAGACGTTGAAATTTTACATATTAATTGTCGTTTTAATATTCGGCCTTCAAATATTAGAAAATAATTTCATTTCTAACTTTATTTTATGATATATATGTGTTAAAATATTCCGTTACTTAAATATATTTCAGTAATATTTTTTGGACATAATTCAGTTTTCCTAGTATGTTTTAGGAAATATTTACAATATGAAATGTAGGTCAGCAAGTACCAGTGTATAATTGAATTTCTGATAGTAGTAGCGGGTGCATCTGAGCCCGAAGTAACAGGTGTCAATACACGCTGGTTGTTGAATATTAGCCAGAGGTTTAATGCTATTTCACCAACTCTCTCGGGAGTTAAATGCAAGCGAGAATTTTGGGAAATCTTTGATTTCACCGCAGAGATGAAATTAGTTTTTGAATTGTTTTAAAATGTAAAAATTGTTCCTTCTATGTTATTGTTATGTTTATTAATTTCATGTTAATATGGAAACAGAGTGTTCGCGTACCTATAAGATAGAAAACTTGAATGAGTTAACAAGATTATATATGAAAGTGAAAGTATGTCGACATTAATAATCTATATTGTCGGTGGCTCAGTGCTTTAAGCACTTCACGTGTACTGCCCTTGGGTTCGAATCCAACCATGTACCAATGTGATTTTCGAATTTTCATATTTACGTAGTTTACCCGACGTTCTTACGGTGAAAGATATTGTGATGCCTGCACATATCGGCGAAGAAATTTAAAGATATGTGTGAAGTCAACCAACCCGTACTTGGTCAGCTCGGTTGACTAAGGCCTATTTACTTTAACTTAGGGTAGGCTCCGAGCCCCTCGGTCGGGACGTATAGCTGGTGATGATGATGATGATTGTATCCTCTGTAGTTATTTACATTTAATATTTATACCCATACATATCATGCATTAATAGAATTATATTTGTTACATGACTTAACTCAGAAGAAATGTGGATTCTACGTATGTTAAAACCTATTTTATTATTATTTATATTAAGCTTCTAAAAAGGTTATCGTAGATATCCATATTTCTTTTTTTATATGCTTCAGTTATACATTTAAATTTGCTTTAAATACACTGATCTGGTTACTTATTAGTTAATTTATAATTGTATCTTTGCACACACTGCACTTAAGTTGTCAATTCACACACACAACGAATGATTTCTTTTTTAATTTTATATACACCTAGTTTTTTTTTATAACATAAGGTGGCAAACAAGCAAGCGGCCACTTAAATCTGCCAAAATGGCGAAGCGTCCGCTACGACATCCGCAGTTGCAGATGCGTTGCCTACCCTTATCCGACGGAGGAGGAGACGCACATAAAGAGGATATTTCCCCTTCCTATGCATCTCCTCCACCGTCACATCCACTTCCCCTTCCCATAATCTCCTTATAAGAAAAGGGTAGTAAAGAGAAATGGACTTAAATTAGGCCTCCGGCACCACACTCATCAGACGAAACACGTAATTGCTTCTATTTCACGCCTGTCTTCTGTGTGGTCGTGGTAATACACCGAGTCGGCCAATTCGTGCTAAGATGTTAAAGCGGGCTTTACTAAAGCCATAAGTAATATAGTATAGGCATAGTTCACACATATTAAGTTATTTTAAAAGATAACTTTAACATAAAACTATCTTCAAAAAAAAAAACTTCGAAAAGCAACATATTATGTATAGTTCCTTTGGTATTGCGCATGTTTGGACGTCGATACCTGTCGTGTTCTCGCTGATTGTTTGCCTTCTTTTACAAAAATGCAATTAAGAGTAACAATGCATTTATTTTAGTCAGACGTAGTTAAAGTAAGCCTGCTCTTTATTACATTGCTTACAGAAGTTGATTATTTGAATTGGAAATGCTAACCGTAAGCGAAAAACCTTCTACCTAAGGAAATTGAGTTTTTCAGTAATAGAGCTGGTCTTGTCAGTGTTTTCTATGTGTTCAGGTTATCGCTTTTAGGAAGATTTAATCATCATATTCGATAATTATCTCTCGTTCGCCCGCCATTTTGTCTATGTGTTCTTTTGTTTATATTGTTTACGTGCACGTTTTAACATGTATCCGTGTACGTGAACAATAAACTGTTTTAATATTATATAGTGGTTATTACTTCGCCACCCGACGACGCATACCAAAATAACCTCCATATCTTAACCAATATTGAAAGAAACTCTATAAGCGATTTTGCTTTGAAAATTGACCAATGCAAAGGTCAAATAAACTTACCCATGCAAGAATAGGATTAGACAACCTTGTTACAACACGTATAAAAACATAAGTAAAGTAGAGGTTTTGTAAGAGACCAATTTAGTGTAGGTAATGGCTCCTGTACTATTTCATCGCAGTCGGAATTCCCTTCGTAATAGTGTCGGTTATCAAAGAGTCCATCCAACGGAAAACCATTGATTGTCTTTTACATTTTATTTTTATCCCAATCGTCTGTCTTGATGTGTCCTGATGTTCCTTAATAAATGGCCACCGTACTACACTTAAAACAGTTTTCTTAATGACTTGAACTATTTAAAATATATAAACTATTTAAAACATTAGTGCAACGTTAACTTTAACCCAATTAATCTTGCTTATCCTATTGTCTCCGCACTGCATTTGTCTAAGCTCATGAAGTCTCTCTACTTCGGTCATAAAAACATAGGGTTGTCACCTTGTTACTTAATAACAAAACGCATACTAAGGTGCGATCTTGAGCGAACCATACAAAATATTCATAACTAGCTTACGCCCGATACTCCGTCCGCGTTTTATTAAAAAAGAAACAAAAGCAAATGGCCTATTTGTTCTTCCATACTATGGTCTATTTCTATGCCAAATTTCATCGAGATCCTTTCCGTTACAAATTCTAATAAACATCCATTCATCCAGCCATTTAAACTTTCGAATTTACAATATTTGTAAGAAGTATGATAAATCCTTCAACAATGATTTGTACAACTTTCGCCGTTTCTCCTCACTACCCCACCCTTTGGCACAAAAAGGGGGTCCATCGAAGGTTGTAAAATATTTAAAAGGGTCCACAAGTGCACAAATTTGAGAATCTTTGAGCTAGATATTTATAACAAGTAACATAAAGTAAATCACAAATGGGGACCAATTAAGCTAAAACGGTTATATTTCTTAAAACTTATAACAAGGAAGAGATATAGCAGAAACTTTAACAAGTTATCTAGTTGATTTGGAGTTAATGAAAAAGCGAGATAAGTTCCATAAAGCGCACGTGTTGGGGCAACCCTGCCCGGCGGCCATTACATAAATAATGGCGCCATGTTTATTGCCGCCATTTTGAAGACAAATGGATAGTTATTACGGCGCACTCCGTTTTACATTCGCTCTCAGCGTTGAAAATTAAAATATTGTGTACAACTTATTTTAACACAGCTTAACTGCGTGAGAGTCGATTTATGATCTTAGCATATCCCCGCGATCACATTCTAAATTCGAATCCGCTGCTTTTTCGTATAACCCTGTGTGAAAATTTTTGCGGAACGAAACATGTCGAACAATATTTTAGATAAGTCTTTTTTTCAAGGACTTGATCAAGGAAAACTCAATGACATTTGAATTTAACAGTGATAGAGTCCGCTTTAACATTTTCCCACGAATGGGCCGCCTCTCCCGATGTAATACCACAACCATACAGAAGACAGGCGTGAAGTGGAAGCAATTCTGCGTTTCGTCTAATGAGTGTGGTGCCAGAGACCTAATTTTAAGTGAATTTCGCGGTGGAGAAGATCATAGTAAGGGGAAATGTCCTCTTTATGTGCGTCTCCTCCTCCGTCAATTAAGGGTAGGCAAAGCATCTGCATTTGCGAATGTTTATAGGCATCGGTCACCTTTCATTTCGGTGGATTCAGGTGGCCGTTTGCCACCTCATATTATAAAAAAATGCCATTATTGTACTGGTTGCGTAACGAAAGCGAATCTATTTTCCTATAGGTTTCTATTCGCTTTTGTTGTCTTTGTGAACTTGAACGTCAACAACCATTTTTTATTAGACAATATGACAGCGAAGTATTCGAATTTCGAGTCCGTTTCGCTTTCGCTTTGTTGTGTGATCGGGGCGTTAGTGCCAGTTTCGGATGTAGAATTTTATGTCCTTTGAAGAACGTTTGTATTTTTTGTATACCCATTTATATCTCCCCGAGGGGCGCGTTGTTACTCGTTATTTGCATTCTATTTTGCAATAAATAGCTACGAGTTAATAAATTCTCACGCGTCACTAAGTCTTGTATTCGTATTTACCCATTTAGTTATGCTCAACAGCAAGAAACATAGAATCATTAATTTTCTTGTTTTACGATATTCGTTCTCACTACTCTTAGAATTAAGACTGTTATTCCAATCTTAATAAATGCTATTAGAACTAAAACAAAGTCTAATTTAAAACTCAAGCATTTAAGTATTTGGCCATATTTTAACATAAAAATTATGGAATAATGGTCTAAGAACCAGGAGAGAGAATAGATATTTCGAGACAAGTGTAGATAGCGTTGCATATCCAGTTACATTTGTGACGACACTTTGCAACCTTGAATTTATATTTACTGAGGATTGCTTCCGACTCGAGATCAAACATCTCTTGGAATCCTGCCGCGAGCCGACTATAAAAGTATTCTTATTACTACAATGTCGAAAGAATTGTGTCTAGTATGTTTATTTTCTTTGTCATACTTAAGTTATATTCATTAAGTTCCCAAGCATGTAGTTCATGTACTAAATATTTAAAATGATACCAAGAAAATTTAAAAATCAAATATTCACCATTTCATTCTATTTCATTTCCAGAATCCGGATATAGTATTAGTGCACTATCTGAACGTGCCGTACCCTGATGATAACAAGCTAGCGACGGTGGCGCCCAGCCTTGCGCTATGGGCTGACAAGAAGGAGTGGACGAAGGACGAGCTTGTCAGCCAACTGAAGCCCATGTGTAAGTACAAGTAATTACTTTTAAGAGATCCTCAATATTATGGCAATTCTCAATATTATAATCTGTTTTCAGTTTTCAGCGAAGATGAACCGGATATGAACAGCGAATTGGAAATTTCAGTACGTAATTTTTAGTATTGAATATTATGTCAGTCTTAATGTTTTTTGAACTTCTTACTATAATTAAATATCAGGGAAAAATGTTTCAGACAGCGGAAACAGTCGAGGCCATCGTAGGGCAGCTGATGGAAAAGCAAAGAGCTGCACGAGCCGCGGCATTGGCGAGGCAACTGGAATGTGGATGTCCCGACTCAACATGCCAAGATTCTAGAACATGCGCGCATCCACTTCGTCGCATTCAAGTTACGAAGGCTCCAGCATCAGATCACCATGTGTCGTCAACAACTGGGCCATCTCCCAGACCGATTTCACAGCCACCGCGTCAGTATACCAGAGATCATAGAACAACGACTCAAACAGCATCCCCATTACTCTTATCACTAGGCCAAATTCAAGGGGGAGGTGGCTTATTAATATTAAACGGAGCTGGCAGTAGCTCGCAACAACATTCCTCTCTCGTTTCTCCTCTGTCAGTGACATCATTCGTTTGCGAAGAACCTAGGGACAGATACCGTCATCAATACAAACCAACGTTTGTATTAAAAAGAGAAATTCCCGACAGTCAACCAACTTCTTGCATCCATAATTCTGAAACAACATTTGAAATAGAAACTCAAGTAGAGGAAAAAGTTGATGTAGAAACTTTCGAATGTAAAATAAAAATGGAGCCTCGAAGTAGGAATCAAATAATTGCTAGCGCCCCCGCAACACCGTCACGTTATCCTGATTTAGTCGAACGATTAGAAAGTAAGGTGTTAACTGACAACTGTGAAGATACGTTAGTTTTGTTAGGAACAGATGGAAGCTTAGGACATACTAGTGCATTTTTCGACGAGACTTTAGAACTATCACACGAAGATATACAGAAAACGCTGTCTGCTAATATGCCAACGTGTGAATTGGATAGAGGTGGGACTAGAACTTCCGACACTGCTAATGTTATGGTGTCGGGAATAGATACGATGGATTTCATAGAAAGTTGTGAAGCAGTAGCGTCGCCAACACAAGTAGTGGATGATAATGTATTTGTCAATTTAGATGCTTTTGATATGCTTGGAGACTTTCCTGAATTAGAAGTTCTTGATCCGAACTCTTTATCAACTAATCCGATAGTAAGCTTTTGTGTTTTCTATTAATTTGGATATTTTGCTTTAAAATAAATTAGAAAATAACAATTTTAATTATTTCTTTTAGAACATATGCGGTAAAACATCACCCATAGATGATTCAAATGAAAAAATGCAGACTGACTGTGCCGGAGAAGGAGCATTGAGCATAACTGATTATTCACCGGAATGGGCTTATCCAGAAGGAGGAGTGAAGGTTCTAGTTGCTGGGCCATGGACAGATACTTCTGATCAATATACAGTTCTCTTCGATAATTTTCCTGTTCCATCAATACTTGTTCAGAACGGTCTTTTACGGTGTTACTGTCCAGGTATGTATTTTTTCTATTTTACTGTTGGCTTTGAAAGTAATATCTTCACTTTATCTAGTTGTATTTGGCTGAATTCCAAGTTGGCCTTAACCTCTTAACCGACGACTTTCTTTACCTTTCCTTTCGATTTCGATTTTTTTACATATATGTTTTTATAATTCCAGCTCATGAAGCAGGTCTGGCAGCCCTTCAAGTGGCTCGTGGAGGTCAAGTAGTATCGGATACAGTTGTATTTGAATACAAAGCTGGTCCTACGCCTACGCCTACTTCGCCAGCGTCTGCCCCTTTACCGTCACTGGATTTTCGGCGGTTTTCACTTTTGCAACGATTACAACGATTGCATGGCCGTCTGCAAGTGAAAACTGAGCCAATGGATGATAACAATCAGGTATTGAGTAATTTTATTGAATACTAGCTGTTACTCGCGACATCTTCCGTGTGAAATTAAAAAAAATGTAGCTTATGTTACTCACAGACAAATTACTTTTCTAATGTTGAAAGAATTTATAAAACCTGTCCCGTAGTTTTAACGTGAATGAATTACATACAAATTTTCCTATTTAAAATATTAGTATAGGCAACAGAAAAACAAAAAAAAACTGTCAACTAAGAACATTAGATTTCAACCAAACCTAATGTTTCTACAGAAATCAACGATCATTAACCTCTTTTAATGTGTTTTTCAGGTGGAAGATGTGCAGCTATACTCAAATCCTAAATTTGAAGAACGACTCGTTACATTTTGCAAGATACTAAGCTCTCGTTCTATTGGAAATGCTGAGGGTTTTACCACAGAGCCTGGTGAAGATAATTCGACGATACTCCACTTGGCTGCAGGATTGGGATATTCTAAGTTGACTACAGTACTGCTTCGTTGGAGGCAGGATGACAACAGTTTGGCTTTGGAAAAAGAAGTAAATTTAGGAGCGAGGGATAGTGACAATTGTACCCCTTTGGTGAGAGCAAACTTTTTAAATACATGATTTTGAATTGTTAAAAGTAATAAAATTTCATAGTTTAAAACCTTAAAAATGCTATGCTTGTAAATTTATTTAGTTATAATATTTATAACCAAATCAAATTAATTTAAGAATAGTATAGCATTTACCAATTAATACTGTGTTGGTGATGTCAAAACTATGATACTTTATAAGAATTGATTTGATGACCATCTTGAAATCGTTTTTGCTTATTTTTTTTTAAGTATGCTAATACGTCAGTTTTACATTATCGGTCTGGGTATTGTTATCGCCTAATTTCTCCTTGATTAACCTTTACCACTGAATCAGTACTTTCAGTCTTCCAGTTTTTCCAGATTTATTATTTAGATGAACATGTTATTTTTAACGTTCCAGATGGTGGCTAGTGCAGCGGGTCACGTGGAGACGGCAGTGGTACTAGCTCGTTGGGGCGCGGGCACGCGGCAGGAGGCTGGTGGACGCGCCGCTGCCGCTGCTGCTCGCCGCGCTGGACACTCCCGACTGGCTGCGATGCTGGACCGTATCCACCCGCCTACTGGTGATGCTGTGTTTCGCAGACCACATAGGTAAGTTCGTAAGGATTATAGAGCGTATTTGAGACTATACGGAGAAATTTATTTTTAAACAAATTCAGTGTTTTTTTTTGGCTATTTTCATTCTAACACAAAACTAGATTATGAATAGTTAGAACTCTCAATATTACATTAATTTTTTTGGAACATTATATACAAAATGTATTTTTAACGTGTCTAATATTTTAATTTCAATCAAAACACAAATAGATTTTAATTGAATTAAAAAAGTGCAATTGCATGATCCTTGTATGTTATGAGAAAATGAGATGAGTCTTACTAATATTAGAAATGCGAAAGTTTAGATGGATAGATGTTTGTTAGAGTTTTCCGCCTAAACGACGATGTAGTGTGTAGTGTAGTCTTGAAGAATGCAAAGATTAATTACTTATGTTATTTTCTTAAATTTAAAATTGTCGTTATTTTACAATTTCCAGTTTATCGCAAAAGGGCCGAGCGGGAAGTTTGGAGAGCAATCTCGTAAAGCGACCGTCTGTAGACAGCGGCATCAACATGGCGGATGCGTTCCGATCCAGCTCCGCTATTGAAAGGGGAGATGTTAGTTTGTCAGCCAGGTACTATCAAATGCACAAACATTTTTACTTCTCCGCATTCTTTATACGATCCTCGATATGTCTTGTATTCTAGATGTAAAATCAAATAGTAATTAACGTAATGTTTATGTGTATATTAGAGAAAGTTTGAAAGTAGTGCCAGTAGTGGAGAAATTGAGAAGCAAAAGGTTAGCGTGGTATGGACATATGCGACGAGACGATGGGCACATAAACCAGAAAGTGTTAAGAATAAATGTGGATGGCTATAAAGGAAGACGAAGACCGAAGAAAGTATGGATGGATTGTGTGAAAGAGGATATGATTAAGAAGGGAGTGATATCTAAATAGATATGACGGCTGATAGAGATGTATGGGAGAGCATCATGTACTTTGCCGAAACTCTGTAAGGGATAAGAGCAAGTTGATGACGAAAACTTAGTGTGTATGGTTGTTTACTAAATAATTTGAAGTACTTGGATTTCCAGATGGGAGCGAAGTATGTCATTACCTTTAGATTCCGATAACTCTGAAGACAGTCTTGGCGAACCGAAGCTCGGCAGACGGATGGATCTAGCTCTTTGTAAGTCTAAATAATTACGTTTAATTTTCATTCCATAGACATTTAAATTTTCATTTGCTGAAAATTATTTATTTATCGGCACGGCGCCTTTATTGAAGATTGAAAATTTTCATAGAATTTATATTTTGCTTTAATCGCGTTTATAAAGCGGATAACGGTTATTTACACGACGATGACGACGGTGGAAAACGCGAAGTGAGTTCCTTCAACGTATACAAACGATATAGAAAATGTAAATAAACATTGATGAATGAAATCCTAACAAAAACATCAAAAGAAGCAGTCAATCGGTTTTTCAAAGATTGGATATATGAGAAATTATTTAAAAAATTAACTTTCGGTATACGAAAATTAAAATAACCGAAAAATAAACGAAAATAATGAAATATATTTCTCTGATAACACGGAGCTTAATAGAATCACAAGTAGAATAAATAGTAGAGGGTACGAAGCGAGTAATGCAATAAGGGGAGGTTTCCAAGTAGGGTATGTGAGGGTCAGAAGGAGCTCACTCGCTGGCGTGCCGGCCGCTGTGTGCAGGCGAGGCGGCGCCGCGGCGCGCGCAGAGCCCGCTCATAGACGTCGAGGCGCTCTCCTCCGCCTCCTCGCCCGCCGCCTCCCCACCACCACCCTCTAAAAAAGGTCAGTTCGCTGCCGCACAAGGAATGGTATAGACGTCGTCCATGAGGTTCCCGAAAACTTTCTACTTTAGGTTATTCTAAATTTGATACCTGCAAAACCGGACTTTTGTAACCCTGACTCAATCTGGCTATACAATATGAAGTAACTGTACGGCATAGTGCAATATTACGCCACGTTTGAATTTCTAACACTCAATGATTAAAAAACAATGCTCTTAAATAAATTCAGTTCTATACCATTTCAAGTTGCAGCAATCCCTCCGCTCGACCATATCGATGTTGTGAATGTAGTAGTTGCATCGCCGCTAAGGCTGCCCGATCTTCTTCTTACCAACGGTTGTCTGCGTATCTTTGTCCCTTTCTATCGCCAAACAGTAGCCGGAACGTCATCGCTAACGGTAGACCACTTGTAGTTTCTTCTGTTATTCTGTATCCAAGATCGAGCGGAGTTTAAAGGTGTTGATTGTAGATGTAATTCAAACTAAACCGAATCACATTAACTTAACCCAAGACGAGACAGTCGCGAATTTTGAAATTCCAGTCTAACTTTATCTTTATAAAGTTAGGTGGGTGGTCTTCTAAATTCTTACCAAATTATGAAAAAGGTTCGGTTTAGTTTACTCGGTGTTGTTAATCGGTGTCGCTTTCAATGGTTCGTATCGGTCCAACCACAACTGTACCTCGAGACACTCCACACAGTTCGCTTTCTCTTCAGATATCTCCAGAATACTCCAGAACACGTTTACAGGTCCGGAACACTTAGCGACAACTTTACAGTACACTGCATGGCGATACAGCTGTTTGCATGAGTCTATATCTATTTGATGCTTTTTATGTGTAGTTTAAAGGATAGTTTTGTGTTATTTGTAAAGGTAAGTTGTGATAAGCACATCATTTCCTAATCACTGATCTCGCTAAAGATTTCTTTATGTTAACACACGTCTGTGTCACACTTTAATGTTAGAATGTTTTACACTTTATATAAATTTAGATGTGTTAATGTTTAAAATTGTGTTTGCGGTATATTGTTTCAAAGGTTCCTGTATTTGGTTTTAAAACAGAGGAATTTGATATTTCAATATCAATTGAAGAAGACAAAAGCGAAATATTTCAAAATTGAATTTAACTGAATTATATTTTTAGTTAAAATACTTTTTGAATATTGAAATGTTAGAAGACTGTAAAGGCCTATAAACTGTTTCGTTCTAGATTCTACTTCATAAAAAACTTTCAGGGGAGCAGGATGACCGAGTGTTCACTCTGGCAGAGCAGATAATAGCCGCGATGCCAGAGAGAATAAAGGTAAATTAAACAAACAAATTTACTTAAACAAATAGAAAATAGAGAAACCATTTCTTACATTAGGAGTATTTTTTATGACGTTAAGTAAACGCCACTCTTAACATTATTGAGAAGAGATGCAATCTTACTAAAATTATAAATGTAAAAGTTTGGATGGATAGATGGTTATTAATATTGTAGCCTAAACTGCCTAAACAGATCTCTATGAAATTGCGCGTAGATGGAGGATAACCTGGAAGAACAAATAGGCTACTCGCTTTAATTTTTTTTTCCACGCGGTTGGTATTGCGGAAGAAGTTTAGAATATCGTTTTTAGGTAAATTTTTTTTTATTTTCCAAATACTTGTTTCAACATAACTTTCGTCTACAGAACGAAAGTTCATCTCTATTCTCGGGCTGTGGGCTGGACAGCGGTTCCGCCGGCAGCGAGGACGTGCTGATGGCGCCTCTGCTGGACGAAACCGCAAACTTCAGCACCGAGTTTACTTTTGAGTTTAGCGATAATACATACAGGTATAATATTGAGTAATAACGGACACCTTTGACTAAAGTGTCGCAAGATTTGTGTTTTTGTATATATTGAAATAACTCAAAAACTACCGGGCCGATTTTAAAAATTATTTCACCATTGAAAAGCGACATTATCAATGAGTTCCACAGGTTATATTTTTTATTATTCTTTTAATTTCATTCGAGCGAAGTCGCATAATAAAGATATTGTGTTATTGCAGATACTGCGGTGGGTCGACTCCGTGCTCGTCGGGGTCGGTGTCGCCGGGCTCCGCGCTGTCGCCGCCGCCGCCCTCGCCCCGCGCCGTCCCCGGCACGCCCACCGCCACGCTGCAAGAATTCCTCAACGCGACTACACACTTCTCTAGCCTTACTTTAAATGGTATTACACTTCATCATATAATTTCAGAACATGACCTGATCAATGCGATTCTTTGCAATTTAATACATTTGATCATAAAAAATCCTCCAAACTGAAATCTTCACTTTCAAGCAATAAATGAAAGAACCCTGTTCTAAATTTTCTGACATTTATCATTTTTAATTCATTTGGAGTCTTGTACATTTTTATACACATATATAAATACTTCACAGTACATCGGTAGCGGTAGACCTAGGAGATGGATGCATTGTGTGAAAGGTGACATCATGAAAAGGGGAGTGATGACTGAGATGATGTATGATAGATTTATGTGGAGGACAAAAACCTGTTGCGCCGACCCTACGGGAGTAGGATAAGGAGAAAGATGATGATGATAAATAAATACTTCTCTTGTGTGTAAAATAATAAATAGGTTTATTTTATTTTTAATGTATGTCCATACTCTTATGGTAATTAGGACTGTCAACTGTCAGTAACAAATTTAAAAATCTGTATTTTATTTGCCGCCATTCAATTTACCACCTCTCTTTAACGTTAACGTTTAGTTGGTCCTAGTTATCATATCTTAGGACTCAAGAACACATAATGATTATTCCAGATCGTGAGCAACGCGAGCTGTACTCGGCGGCGATCACCATCCAGAAGGCGTACCGGCAGTACCGCGGCCGCCAGCTGCAGCGCCGCGCCGCCGCCGCCGCCATCACCATACAGAACTGCTACCGACGGTACAAGCAGGTCAGTATCAGTCAGTCGGTAGCCTGCTAGCATGCACTCCGCTGTCCGGCTCGCCCAGTGTAGTACCACGACCACACAGAAAACAGGCGTGAAGTGGAAACAATTTGGCGTTTCGTCTGATGAGTGTGGTGCCAGTGGCCCAATTTTAGTCCCTTTCGAAAGGTTGGGAAAGAAAAGTTGATTTGACGGTGGAGGAGACGCATAGGACGGGAATGGGAAATGTCCTCTTTATGTGCGTCTCCTCCTCCGTCAATTAAGAAGTCGCTTTCCATTTCGGTGGATTCAGGTGGCCTCTTGCTCGTTTGCCATTTATATTATATAAAAAAACTTCATCCGCGTGGAATTACAAACAAAAGTGAGTAACCTATGTGTTCTGGCAGTCTATCCTCTTCATTTATACAAAGCTAGTAATTTAAATTGCAATTTTTTAAATATTTGCTTATATTAGTCCTGTTAGATGATATTGTAATTTGTTCACAGTTCGCATACCTGAAGCAGATGCACGCGGCGGCGACAGTGATCCAGCGCGGGTACCGCTCCCTGCGCGAGCGCCGCCTGGCCGCCACACCTGTCAAGTAATTCACATTTTCATAAGTCTTTGACTACCACAAACTCTACCTTCCGGAAGACGGAAGAAAGTATGGATGGATTGTGTGACTTACTTAAGGAAGTGGATTCATATACATATTTATAGCGGCTGATAGAAGTATGAAGCACCACATACTGTGCCGACCCATAGGGACAAGTTGACAATGAACAATTTATGAAAGAATAGGGATAAGGAACAAATTTATCACTTTAAACAACATACTTGTGGCCGGTTTCCCAGCTAATTTTAACCATTCGTTTACTTTATGAACGTTTCAGAACTTCGTATCTTAAGTTTTACGCCTCTGAAACTTACCTGAACCTAAGTAATGAATTACTAGGTAATTATAAAATGAAACATCAGCAGCATATATCACTAAGATAAATATTAAGAATTAGTTTTCTAATCTAATTAACTGGATTTTTTAATGTTTTTCTCAGGAGAACATATTCACAAAGACGCCAAAATCAAGCTGCTAGGAAAATCCAGCAATTCATGCGACAGTCGAAGATCAAGTTAGTTTTAACTTTTGTACTTAAATATTTCTTTTTTTGTTTAGATAAATGTCAGTGTCCTATACATTTTGATACAAGGTTAAATATAATTTTTAAATTATTTCACGCTATCAGTACATGGGAGGAAATATCTACAAGTGTAAGTTGCAACTATTATTGATTTTTTTAAAGGTTAAACTGTAAATTGTATACAATTTAGTCATGTGTTATTGGAAGTTAAATGAATTAAAAAATACGTAAATAGTAATATGGTTTTAAACATTGCAATAGGTTGCAGAACGCACGAGCAGAAAGCGGGAAGGCGGGCCGGCGCTGCCCCGCTGCCCGCCCAAGCTGCTCGCAGCGCACCACCAGTACTCCGCACACGCCCAATAGGTAACTTACTGCCTATAATTAAAAGAAAGCTTTAAACTATATTTCCACTAGGCAACTAGCTGATATCTGGGAGCGCACTATCATTACGTATAATTATTTAGCAAGCAACTTAGCAAAAGGAGTCTCTCAGTTGAAATAATATCTCACCTGAATGTAATTGGGACTTCAATAACGCGTCTTGTGTTAGTTTAAATCCTAGTTTATGAAAATTTCTAAACCTACTCAACCACGCTGCACTGCGGGTTGACACATATCTTTTAATTTCTTCGTCGATATGTGCAGACGATGTTTTTCTTCACCGTAAGATCGTCCGGTTATGTGTACTACATATGAATTTCAAAAAATCTAAAATCACATTTGTACATGTCGATATTCGAACCCACGACCTGTTTAAAGGTTTAAAGATAGAAAAAGGATTTACCAAAGAGACCGAGAGTATTACTATACTCTCGCATTTATCATATACTAGCTGTTGCTCGCGACTTGCTCTACGTGAAATTAAAATATTAAAAGTAGCCTATGTTAGTCAGCGATAATGTAGCCTTTTAAATGTAAAAGAATTTTTGGAATCGGACCAGTAGTTTTTGAGTTATTTCTATACATACAAAGATAAAAATCTTTCCTCTGTATAATATTAGTATAGACAATTTGTTCTGTTTGTCCATTTTTCAGAATCATCAACTACCTGGCTCCGGAATCACCGATGGACGCTGATGACGATTTGCTACTTGAACTTTTGTTTAAAACATGACCCTCATACAACACACCCTGTTTGGAGCAAAGCTGTTGAAATCAAAGACATTTAAGAAATATATAGACGAGGCAGTGAACTTAATTTTTCACCGGTACTTTCAGTAAAAGGTACTATAGCAGTTGTCAAATTTGGTGCAATATTCTTGTGTTTTACGTGTAATAAGCTCCATCTTTTGTTATAAAATAAACTATAGTTTGTCTAAATAATATAGATTTCTTTGATAATTTATTTGAAATTTATTAGCGATGGGTTGTGTAAAATCAGTCATAGGTCTTATCGATTTTCGATTTTTATTCTTATAGAAGTTGCAATTGATAGATTATAACTTGTGATTAAAAAAACACCGTTTTCTCAAATTTATAATGACTTGCAGAACCATAAAATATAATGAGAGTAATTAACTCTTAGCTGTAATCAGCCTTACGTAATCGAATTGGATTTCGCTATTATTTCTGTCATCGCTAAATTCTCTACACTCTAATCAATACTAGATTTGTCGTCTAAATTAGTTAATAAGAAAATAATAATTTTACTTGTGTTAGATAATTATTTAAACCGAACATTAATAGTTCAAAATTGTTCGTTACGTGTTTGTTTCACTACGATACCTGTCTATTAAGTACGGCATGCCTCCACACAAATTTAATTCGAATTCATATGCGTCATTTATCAAACTAATCTATCTTATTTAGACAAACTATGATCAGTGTTATAATAAATATCATTACTACCTATTGGTAATTAATTTCAATACAATTAATTATATCGATAGCGTTAATGAGATTATGTGAAAAATGTTTTAAGTGTCAACTGTCTCCTCTATATATGTTTTTAAATCTCTGCACGAAACAAATCCTGAGTTTTAATTTTGTATTGTTATTAGTTTTTTAGTGTTCGTTTGCACAGCTCCAGTTTTTGGTCTGCGTTAGATATACTAGTCATGTTAAGTTGGATTGCTATATAAAATCATTATATATACGATCTCATTGTTAGAGCTGTTATCCGTTGATTTTTGGAGCTGTTAGTTTTAGCTTCATTATAAAATATCGTATCGTTTAATGTCATTCCAAATAAATTTTAAAACAGGTATCTCTGCGTTGTGAGATTACTCAGGCCTTTGTAATAGTAAAAAAAATGTAGGAATGTAATCAGATAGATGGTGAATTATGTACGGCTTTGATGTTTATAGTCTCTGTCCTTCTCCTTGTTTTAGTTGAGTGTTGTTATATTTTGTTAACGTTCCTTAGAAATGACTTGTTCAGAGTTTGGATTCAAATTCTTCTTTATGTTAAACTCTTCAGGTCATAGACAGGGTTATATTTAGTATAAATTTTATCGTATTTGTATTATATTTTCATAACGTATTTTTGAGACGTTTGTTTAGGGCGTTTATTGGAATCATATTTTTGAAAACTCTAAATTGGATGTAATTTACCTAAAGCATCCGTATATTGGCAATTGTTTGATGATGAATTAGAAATTATTATCATATTCAATTGGTTGTTTAACAGTTCTTGTAAGAATCTGCAGTTAGACTACATCCATAGATTGAAATTTACGTTTTATCTTTTGCATGTTTCGACAAAAAAGTGAGTTTTAGGCTCTATTGATTTTCTTGATGACGTAAAAGAGAGTAGGTTAAGTACAAATTCAAATTATTAAAAGCCACTGTTCTTACAAAGTAGATGCACCTAGCGTAGCGTATGTTACAATAAACCCGACGAGCTGTGAGTATTTTGAGATTTTATCGTATTTAAGAATAAAAAAAATTAGTTTTACTATTGGTCTAAAGTTTACCGTAAAGGTTTCATTCCAGCCTAAATAGATTAACTCCTTTTTTAGTCTACGCAGTGAATTAGAACAACTAATTACGGATCCTTAACCGTAGACTACAAACACATCGATCTTATGAAGTTTGTCTTTACACGTTAATCTTCATTATTTTATTGTACCATTGTTAACTTATTGTTGTTTTGTTTGTTCTTAGTTGTTTACATTTTCAAGTCCCAAACCCACCCTAGTTCCTACTTCAAGTCATAAAATATATTAATTATCCAAACTATCTAGTATTAGTTCATTAGTTAGTGATTTTTTTAGGTCCTCGATAAAGCTGAATCCCATACTTATCTAGCGTTCATGAAAAAAATGAGGTTGTGCACCACTTAAATATAGAAATAACTACCTAAATATTCCCCTTTTTCTGAATTCTCTGATATTTTAAATTAGTATAGTTAATAGACTAAGACGATAGAAGTAATCATAGCTTACCATAAGACGGGCGGCCGTCGAGATATTTTCGATTCGTATTTTTATATAGCAAAACTTACGAACGATAAAGTTTGCTTTGCTTTTGCGGGGCCGCGGCAAAGAGTATTTACTTTATCAACGCCAATTTGACTTTGTTTAAAATTTAACAAACTGTCGAATTTCATTTATTTATATTATTGTTTACAAATTTACTTTTGATGTTGTTTTAATAGTATGTTTAGGGTTCGCATCGCTACCATAGGTTGATACTTTTAGAAATATTTTCAATGGGCCGGTACTGTCATTTGTTTGTTTACAGCTGGTTTATCGTTTACAAAATTCAATGTCCATTTTGCTGATATTTGATAGTGATTTATTTGAATAAGCAGTTTTAGTGAATAGTTTACATGATATCAATTATTCAATATATTTGAATTTAGTAAATTGCGCAATGGTATGGTCTATTGAAACTTGTAAACTGGCGACTTAGATGAAAAAATGAATGTTACGACGCAGTTCGATAATAACCGTCCATTTGTGGCGGCTGGTACCCTCGCGTGGTGGACGGCGGGAGTCGCACTGCAGGTACAAGCGAAATCGAACAGTGTTACAATAACCACAGAGATAAGATTCGCTTGAGACGAGTTGAGACACCCGAGGGCGCACGATTGCAACATGTACATTTTATATTTTTGGATTGCTAATTTTAAGATGTTATATTTATATATGTATATGTAGATGGCGGGTACGAAACCAGTATTCCGAGATGTATTGCGCCAAAAGTTTTGATGTATTCATTTTCCATAACGTTCTCTCGTTTTCGTTTCGAATGAATAGTTGGTTTTAGCTAGTGGTCATGTATATTATATATTTTTGGATCGCACGATCGCTTGTGGAGCGCCGGCGCCGGCGTCGGTCGTGAGGCGTTCGTGATAATGCGTTGGTAAAAACGAATAGTCATATTTTTAACTGTAACACAAAACCTCTGAAAGCAATAATATTTTTGTGGTAAGAATTACTCCGATTTATAACAGTAAAGAGTATTTTATTATCCACGCAATCGTCACATGACAGTTCATTATCTAGAAAGCTTCACGGTGTTGCCCTAAAATGTGCCTCTGTGATTTTTTTTTAGATTTCCATCTTTCAAAAGAAAATATATTGTGAGCTGTATTTTTGAACCATTCTATTACTTTATAAGTCTGCAAGACGATTTTATTTTACGATCTGTTTTTTCCGATTTTTTTAGATTTCCTTCTTAATCTAGACTTTCCACAAGTAGTGAATGAAGCACATTGTTAGGGCAAGCCTTAGTAATTGACCACTGCTAAAAGATAGTGCACTAGCCGTAGATATAGTTAGATAAATTATTAATTACATATATGATATAATGAAATGAAAAAAAAAAAATCTTGAAATCTATACATAGAATAAAAATTAAAAAAATTTAACTAATACTTTTATTATTATATAAGAGGCTTGTTCACATTTTAACTTCGTATTAGTAAGTAAAACTAAGTAATTAGAGACGTTTGGACGGTACTGGAATGTGGTATTTAGTGAGAGTCTGTTTTGATTTTTTTTAACTTTGAGACGAGTGGGGTAATGCAGGGTGGATAAGTGGAGGGGAGTTTGGAAAGTAATCGAAATTGATGGGAGAGATGTTTTTTTTTCTTATTGACACGTTTTATTTGCTTAACCACTTGTTAGATTATTATTGTAACACGTGATTCTTCTGTAAATAAATCAAACTATTAAACGCCAAAGGCGATTTATTTAAAATTGTGATAAAATTGGCAAAGAATATTAATTTGATGCTTAGAAAAATTGAGTAGCTTTTGTTTTGTAGTTATTTTAGTATTTCTGCTTTTTAAAACATGTTCTAATAACACCTTTTCCTTTTTAGTTACTTGTATGTATTAAAAAAACTATAATTGATTATTATTTCAACTAAAGTTTCTTTAGGTTTTTATATGTTTATTCAAGAAGTTACTGCAATTAAAAAAAAATAAAAAATGATATTTTCAGTAAGAAGTAACATGAAAAAAAAATACGCTTTTTATCTTTGTTTCAATGCACATTAGCATATATATGTATATTTTTAGTTGTGAACATTATAATGTCAAAAGAATTACAATTGAGAAAATAGGACAAAAGGCTTGATTGTGATAATTGTACAATAGATTGGACAGTTCGTACATGTTTTTGTTATGTGAGAAATTGAGCAATGCAATTGTGTATTGCGTAATATTTCTTATTTTTTGGCAACCCTAGTTCAATCTTAGATGTATACAGCCCTATTCAGTCTATCTCTAGTTAGTCCTCAGTCTTAAGATTTTTAGTTCCTTGATTCATATCTAGGACATGAAAATGTATTTTCCAATCTAAAAGTAGTACTATAATTTGAAATGTTTAGTCGATTGCTAGAACTAAAAAATTCAAAATGGCGACAACGAAATTTGACTTTAGAATTTTAGATGCTTTTCATTTTCATTTTTAAAATAATATAGTCAAATTAATTTTATCCGTTATTAAAATTTTTCTATTGTATTCTAAAATATGCGTTTGATAGAGTTTATTTTGAAGATTTTACTATAGTTTTTGCGATCTTTAAAATCTCTTTAATTTAGTAGAGAAAGAGATCGTATTGTACTGCCAGTTTCAAGGTTTCTAACACCAATATTTATGGAAAGATGTTTGAATGCGAGATAAAAATTGTGTCCTAATTAATCTATTATTACGTAATTTCTTTTCTTTAAGTGTTAAGGTACGATTGGACTGTACGATTATCCCACGAATATATGCATAAGGATAAAAAATATTAACCACCACAGTGTACTTAAGGCCAATTATTTCAAATCTTTGTACAGTAATTGATTGATTTATACATTTTTTTGTATATTACGTTGTTTTTAGTGAATGTTTGTTAATGTATATGTTATAAAAGATTTGTAAAAAATCTTTATTT